TGACAAAAACTGGGGAAACAGTAAAAAATTGTTTAATTTTGCGTATCATAGGTTAGGAGTCCTCAAAATTCGTCCTAATTATTCGCATTTAAATCGCTTTTTTGGCCTCAAAAGTGAGGGGGGTGGTCATCTCAGAAAGTATAAGTCCGTTGAGGCTCATATTTGGCCATTCTTACTTATATTCGATACCTAATAAATGGTATAAGTTTGAGGTAAATCGGCCGACCCCCATCTTTTCACCCTGCCCGGTTTTCTCTGACAATCACTCTTAATAGTTTAGGCCCACCTTTGAATTACAGTGGATCCTCTATTAAGCGGTCACCTTGAGGAAAGACCAAGTGACCGGTTAATGGAGGCTGACTCTTTAATAGAGGTCACGTTTACGGCAAATGTATTTGTGAATCGACTTTCTGGAGTGACAACTTAATAGAGGGTGGCCTCTAAATAGGGGGTCGTTTAATGGAGGTTTGATTGTAGCGCTCAGTCAACAGAAGTGCTAAAAAAGTCAATGTTTATTAATGTTACGATATCTTAAAGGGCATGGTTGACCGGCTTCACTTACGAGCTTATGGCTGTTTGAAACTTAAAATACATCGCAATATAAGGAAAAAAATTACTCTATCCTCCTCTATATACTAAATGTATGGAGAAATTGTAAGATTCGACCTTAAAACTGACGGATGGAAATGGATTGTGAAGAGATATTTCAAGTCACTTCATTTTCCAAATATAAAAAATCTATAACACGACCGCATTGAATGCTTGATGACCATGGTCCTTTCATTGTGTTTTTGTAGGAGGATTATGTGAAGTGGAGAGGATCTCTGTTCTACCATTTTATTACTGCACTTGTAGACGAAGACAAAAACATCAGACAATTTGGTAAGAATGTGAATCGTGACCTGGAAAAATCGCGCGCTTTAAAGGTTGTAAATTTGATGTAAATATGATGTAAATGTCCAAAATTCTGTAAATTTGATGTAAATGATTTCCATAAAATTTACAGAATTTTGGACACTTACATCATATTTACATCAAATTTACAATCTTCAAAGCGCGCGATTTTTTCCAGTGGTAACCTGATGATGCCGGCGTCCGGCGAAGGCTTGTCCAAACTTATTTGACTTTCGACAGTAGTGTACGGCCCTAAACTCTCATTTTAACTCATAATGCTACTGAAGGACAACTTCCTATAATACTGAAGATAGTGTTTGCAACATCGAGATGTTTGCATTGTTAGTCATTTTATCGCCGTACAAAATGAGTTTTCGTGGTTTCAGAGTGACTGCACCAGCTACGTTCATTAAAAAACTTCATTGGGAAGCAATAAGGTTTAGAACTGTCAGCTAGTAGCGGTCCTACAATTTTGGACATAAATGTTGACGTGCCCCCCTTCCCCCTAATACATTGTTGCGTGGCTTTCTTTTCATTTTTCTGTCTATTCATTTACCCTTGCTTACAACATTGATGTGGGAGGGTGGGGAGGGAAAGGGAATATTTTTAGTTGGTGCACGTAGTGCCCAAGCGAGAAATTGTCAAGTATTTATGTCCAAGATTGTAGTTTGGCGTTTAATGGCCACAATGCATTGCGGTCTTGGAATGCACTATGCCGTATTACAGTATTCAACGTTGTATTCATTTTTTTGTTTTTTGTTTTTAGCTGATTTTTGTCTAGTTCATCTCCTCTTAACAAGACATCCAGGAATGTTCTACCAGCATTTTGTCGAGTGTATCTTCCACTTTAATTCCTACGACAAGCACAAAGGTACATAAGACTTCGGTCCAGCATCCTAGTCATTYGCWYGSTGTGATTGGCTAGCGCGCGGTCCRGTTYTWCACGATCTGCCCRGTCCGACGGTATCCTRCAGCTAGKCTGCGAGCAAAGYTGCATAAAATACAAATAAAAAATAAATAAAAATGTTATTTACCGGCKATASGTCGGTCCGTATAGRAAAACACTGCCCTCGGTCTTTTATGAACGGACCTCGCTGCGCTCGTTCCGTACTGTCAAGACCTTGGGCAGTGTTTTCCTATACGGACCTCCCAGCCGGTAAATAACATATATATTACTTTTCTTAGGGTTGAAAAATTCTGGGTTGTTTTACAATAATTTAATTATTCAATAAGTATGATTATCGACGCAATGACAAGCGTAAAAGTAAGCGCAAAAAAGTTGCAATTGTGTTTTTCGTTTTCACAAGTACAATCATCAAGTGCAAGGAAAAATTAAACGCTTGTGACATCTTACGCTTTGCCACTGCGTTTGGCGGTTTTCACTTTAAACTAAGCCTTTTATAGTAGGGAAAAAAGAAGCTTGTGACTTCTTATGCTGGCCTTATCACTACGCTGGGTGGTTAGGCCTCTTGCGCTTGCTCTTCCGTCGCTAGTAAAATCCAGTACTAAGGCCATGTTCACACGGGGTCGTTCCCGTTCGGAACTGTTCTAGTTTAAGCACGCGTTCACACTGGAACTCTGGAACTGGCCTCATCTGAGGCTGGCAAAGTGTTCAGGTTTGGGGCTGGCTAAAAAGCCGATCCACTTTGAGGACGGGTCACTTCGAAGCATGGACGGATCTGTGTGAGCACTGTTTCAATCCGTACCGAAATGTGGACGGTTCCGTGTGAACAGTGGGAACTGTCCTAAAACCGAGGTGTCCTCAAACTTGACCGGCCCCGTGTGGACGTATTCTAAAATGTCAATACTTCGAACATCAAGAAACTGATTTTACACAGTATGAGAATGCTAATTGATGTTTTGCTCTTTCAGTGTTCAACAAATTTCCTCAAACTGATCGTGAGAAAAAGGTATTCTCACTTAAAGGCGATGAAAACGCAAGGTATGTCATTTAAACAGTAATTAAAACAGCTCTAGTTGGCTTTTTTTTAATAAAAGGAGCGGTCTGTTGTTGAAAGTTGATTTCTGATTGGTTCAAAATCAATGATGGCGATTTTTTGCCGTTAGGTTCTTGGTTTCACTTGGGCATTTAAAAGTAAACATTTTGAAAACATCGCAGTCAAGTCGAGTCAACTCTCGTTATTACGGACACCTTCGGGACAGTAATTAAGTGTCCGTAATAGCGAGTGTCCGCTGTAAAGAGAGTTATTTTCAGTACAGTCAATTCTCGTTTTAACGGACACCTTTGGGACAGTAATTAAGTGTTCGCAATAGGGAGTGTCCGCTATGAAGAGATTTATTTAGTTTTCTTTTGGGCAATGACTCATTTATGTCGTCGTAATAAGAGGTTGTCCTTAATATCGTAATGTCGGGTTGCATACAAGGCAAGAGCTGATTTTCTGGATAAGTGTGGGTGGGACAGAGCCTAAATCTTAAAAGACATTAGCGTGAGGGATGCCAGTTGACCAACCGTTGGTTTGTTGTTCTGTTTTATATCCTTCAACCAAGAGTACTTTTTCTTTCCAGTAAACGTTCTATCATCTATCAGTTCCTGCTATCCCACATGGGAGACGAGGACAGGTTTAATCTGACGGGAAAGCTGTGTCAAGAGGTTCTTGGAGGCATTGCTGATGGA